AGAGAGATAGATAGATAGATAGATAGATAGAAATAGATAGATAGAAATAGATAGATAGATAGAAATAGATAGGAAGATAGAAAAAGCCATGTCCGATCCCGTTCGTTAGTCTATCGTCTAGGTCCCTCCTCTAGTACAACGCATCCAAATCGATTTCGAAGCGGCTGCTGCTGCGACATGTGGGCAACAACTAAAAAATGAAATTTGCAACCCTTCCTGTCGCACACCCGGGGCGTGCGTCGATGCCTCGGCCCCCGCGTGCCTCCTCTCCTTCTGACGGCTCTCCCGACTTTTGGCTGCTCGATGCAGCCAGGGCAGTCAGCCCCCGTCGCTGGGACGGGTGCTGCCGGGGTGCCCCAAACCCCGGCCCCGTCTTCCACATGGAGGGGTTGGTCTCCGTCGGCCCCCTACCGACTGAGCTGTTTCCCACCTTCTTCCCAGAGAAGACAGAGACAGAGACAGAGAAGACAGAGACAGAGACAGAGAGAGAGAGAGACAGAGACAGAGACAGAGACAGAGACCGACAGAGACCGAGACGGAGACGAAGACAGAGACAGAGAGAGAGAGAGAGAGAGAGACGAGCGGGAGAGAGAGAGAGAGAGACAGTACCTACCCCTACACCACAGACCCTAGTGTGCCACGCGCCCGTGCCCTGCCCGGGAGACAGAGAAGACAGAGACAGAGAAGGCGGAGACAGAGAAGACAGAGACAGAGACAGAGACCGAGACGGAGACAGGGACAGAGACAGAGACAGAGAGAGAGAGGAGAGGGAGAGACAGAGAGAGACAGGACCCACCCCTACACATACCCGAGTGGGCCGGCGCCCGGCTGTTAGGCGTAAGCCTTTAAATTTGCCAGTCACTTACCTTGCGATTTGCCCAAAGTGGTGCACCAAGCAACTCAAGCAACTCCCACTCCGACCTCTGGCTTCTCCAGAGGCTCCACATTCAACACGACAAACTCGGTGAGATGGTCCTTCCCGCAGACCTGCGGAGCCGTGGCCGACACCAACGCCCCGTGGACTTCGTGACCGTCACGGTCCCCGAAGATGAAGAGTCGCTAAGTGCCGTGCAGAATGGAGCGGTCTCTTCCAATACTCCTTAGTCTGACAGACATGCATCAAATGCCAAAGGATGAGAACTGATGAGAACTGAGTCAAAGAACATCTCAACAAAAAGTGCATGGTTCTGCTTTGAGCAAGCATCCGGATTTGGAATGTCATAACCTCAGCATTCCCCAGCTTTGCACACTGTCGGCCCAAAAAAGTGAAAGCAGCTGCTCAGCTGTCGGCTTCGAAGGGACACAGGATCGACAAATCGAATCGCGTTGGTGACCTGCGGACAGGTTCCGAGCAAAGAGCCTCCACGTCACGGTCGGACCCGTCAAGCCGTCGACCCGTCAAAACAAGAGCTTCGAAGTTTGAGAAAAAACCTCCAGATCCGGAAGGTGCCAACAGACTGAATCGATCCCATTCGAAAACACGGTTGAAATTTGTGGGAATGGACAACACTCGACTCACCTTGTGGCAAAGCATCAAAGGTGGCGCTCCATTGAGCGCTGTCGAGTGCCCTTTCGGCACATGCACCACCTCACGCTGCATCTCCACGCGATTCCACACGTATGTCAGTAGAAAGATGGAGGAGCTCTCGGTGTCCCAGCATCGTCAACGCAAATGGGGCACAGCTCGCACATGATGGTGTACTTGAAGTTGTAGGTACTCGGCAACATCCAGTGTTCACAGAAAGAAAGCCGGCTTGACTAGATCTTAGGAGAAGAATGTTCATTTATGAGGCACAGCATGGCCGACTGCCAAAGGCTCTGGCTTGCTATTAGCATCATGGGAGATAAGGTGTCTGGACTGCTTGCTCTTGGTTGGCACCTGACAGCCAAAACAATACTTCAGTCACACCTTCAAACATATAGTATGTTCCAACAACAACGGCAGAAATCTCTGGGCCACAAGCATGCGCTTCGACGAAATCGGCAAAGCGCCTCAGAGCTGGAGTAGCTCCCATGCCGTTCAGATTGCCAGTGTCCGACACATGTATACTCGCCACTCGGCGGCCAGCTGTGCATGGCTTTTCGTTTCAAAGAAGAAGTCCAGACCCTCTCGGGTCTCCTTCAAGGAGGTGACCTCGCATCAGAAAAATAAGCAAACCGCAACATCAAATCTTCATGCGGATTAACCGCACAATGTCCCAGCGTCTTCAGAGTTTGCAGACAAAGCGAGTGCGAAAACATCCTCAAGATCCTGCAGTTGCTTCCTCTCAAGAACCAGATAAGCAAACTGAGGTCCAATCCTTTGCATGAGCATCACTCTTCAAAATGAGCTGCTCCAAGTAGCAGAAGGTCCTGGCGGCGGCACCCCGCACCCAGCCAGCGCCGCCCGGAGCTGCGGTTGACGTCGACACATCGAGGGCGGTTTCAACGGTCCGGTGGACACCGGAGGGCGAACATGTGACTCCCGTGTTTTCATACGGATGATTCTGGCTCCTTAGCTCCTTAAAGGGGCACCAGCACCAGCACCCGTGTCGACTGTTTCTCCATTTCGGGGTCCCATGGCTGGATATAGACCGAGGGACGTGGATAGAAAAAGGCGCCGTTGTGGAAGAGAATGAGCACCCAAAATGTCTTCCATCTTAAGACGTTATAAGACATGGAAGAACAAGTCGTTACTGTATATAGTTATGTAGGGTTTTACAAATAACTATAGTTGTGTTTTATCAGTTATAGTTCTTTAATGTTCTTTATATATAGGATGTTATAAGGCATCCACCTACACAAACCGAGATCCGTGGATCCCTTCGGCAACGATCCATCCCTCTCCTCCTGTGGGGTACCTTCTGCCTCACCTGCACGATGGCATTGTAGGCATGCGGAGTGAAGGACCTCGGCGTCGAGCGCCGGACGTCTGGCGCACTCGGACGTCTGTTTGCATAAATCCATATAAAATGTGTTGCCGTGAATTCTCGGCTGGGCACTCCTCCAAGCGATATGTCGATTTTTTCGGAACCATTCATCTGGGATGTTCAAGGGCTTGCATCAACCAGATCTGCTGGTGCTTATAATCTACATACTCCTTTCAAACATAGTGTTTTGGTACAGTAATCTTTTGCCTCCGACCTGTGTGGGACACCTGAGTCGTGAAGAAAACAAAGGCCCTTCGATCCAGGCCCAGCGACTTTTGGCACGTTTCGCACTGCTGATTCACGATCTGAAACTCCACCACCATGGTCTGCTGCAGGACGCTCGACTGCGCAACCTCACCACGACTCGGATGGAAAGACACAGACCACGTTGAGCCAAACAAAAAGGTCCTGTCCTTTACTGTCCCTCTTGGCGTCTGCAAACATTCCACTTCTACCCACCCGAAACAGTTGACGACTGTTTGGGGTACTCTGGTCCCACGTCTTCGCGTGTCGGTTTTTTCATGCTCTGGCGGCGGTGTTTCGAGTTTGAGTCGTAAAATGCCGTCAACAACCGAAAGTAGTTCATCAATCTTGACTCTTGCTAAACATACCATTAGGATCCATGAGGCCCCAAGTGGATGTGGTTGAACATCCTAGCCTTGAATCTGCTCGGGGGGGCTTGTTCATGAAGATCCAACATCAATAGGTCCACTTTTGTTTCCAGCTGCCCGTCCAAAACAGCCACCCAGGACCCGGTTCTGGGGGGCACAAACCAAGTACACCAGCATCGACCCGACGATCCCACCAGCGGCGGCAACTTGATGTGGCAAAAGAATGCAAAAGAGCCAAGCTTGCAGTGCTTGCCCCAGCCCAGCGAGCCAAAAGCATACAAGTCAAGCTGGGTCATTGTTTAAATGCTAAAAAAGAATAACGATTTGGTTTGAACATCCAAGAAGAAGAAGAAGAAGAAGAGGGAGACAAAGCAGAATCATCTCAGCCCAGCATCCATAAGAGCCATGGAGGAAAGGGTGACAAAGCAGTTTCGTTTGAGCCAAGCATCCAGAAGAGCCATGGAAGACAAAGCAAGGCAAAGAGCGACACGGCGAGACAATGCAGAATCATCTAGACAAAAGGAGACGAAAGGCCAGAGATCATCTTGGCCTCGGATCGTTTCTATGGAAGAATTGACGAGCCCAGAGACAAAGCCAGACAATCAGACCCAGAAGAGCCATTGGAGACAAGGGGAGGCAAAGCATCTTGGCCCAGGATCATATTTCTATGCCTCTATGCAAGAATTGAGAACCCCTCAGAGCAAAGCTGAAGAATGGAAAGGTACAAAACAAACCTGGACACTTTTCAGGTTGCCTTCGGCCCTTTAATGTTCTATCCCCGGAAAATGCTCCACTCTGACCCCTGGCGGCCCTGGCGCCTCCTTCTGGACAGTGATCTTCACCCGAAGTCTCTTGGAGTTCTCCTGCGAGCGCCGTCCGCGCGGGACCCGCGCTCCGGACCAAAGCCTCGCCGGCCACGGTCCTCGGTCCAAATAAAAGCTGCATCGACCAGCCTGGAGGCAGTTCCATCTGTTGATTCCTACTAAAAACAGTACAGGGGTCTTTCAAAAGCTATATGATTCACTGGGACATACATACAGTATCTTGGTTCATATGTTCATGGAAGTTGAACAAGCTCGAGCTGTCTTTATCATTGTTGCTGTTGCTTCTGGTGTGCGAAACCCCGCCTGACTTCCTTGCCAAGACCTGCATGAGACAATCGACATCAAGACTATAGTGCGTTTCTCGAATGACTATAGATCCGTACGAGTGACTTCAAACAAATCCTTCATGAAGCAATTTCAATGAAAGAAACCTGTCGTTCGTGGGCGCGCCAGGAAAGCCCAACCTTTGATCTTCTTCAAGCAAATTCCAAGCAATTCCCTTGACCTCCAGAAGACAGAGGAACAAGCACACACAAAAAAGAATTGCCTTTCCTGCCCTCAGAGTCATAAATGGGCAGCCAGACTCTGGCTCGCAGCTGGTCCATGGGGGCTTGTTGTACCTGCAAGAAAGTTGGCTTGGGCTTCGCAACCACCCTCAGTGGTTCCACACATGTGCTCCTGCCCTCGGGTTTTCGTCCACGGCCCGGAGGCCCAATCGCTCAGCTCTTTTTCTGCTTCTCACGTAGACGGCAACGTGAGCACGAGCATTATCATGGAGTGAGCACAGCGTGGCTCAGACCTGCCAACTCAGCTTCGGCACCGGGAAGCATCGGTTCCCACCGGCCTCAGCGTGGCGTCGTCTGGAGACCCCTTTGGATCCGTCAGTGATGGCCAGCACCGCTCGAAAATCTCAGACCCAGGCCGAAGAATCACGAAGCAGCTGAAGCCTAACTGCACCAAACACCTCAGGCGTTCGCCCGCGTTCCACGGCGGTGTTTTTGACCACCTGTGTTGAAGCTCTCCCTGCAAGGCTTGAGAGTTGTACCACGCAAGACGCGCCAGTCTTGAAAGGACCAGAGCGGCCACGACAACACACGATTTCAGCGGGTGGGACAAAGAAAATGGCAGCAACCGCCAGTGGTGGCTGCACACCAGTAGCTGCGCAGCTGCAGCAAAATCACATCGTTTCCAAAGGGTGTGAAAGCGACAACTGTGCTCTGGATCTGCTGGATGGGGCATACAATATCATACAATGCGTTGTTGTTTTTTGTCTGTCACACACGTCGTCACACGGCAAAAGTAATAACAGGTGCAGCTTTCTTCAGCGCAAAAAAAGGGCACCGAGGGGCACCATCGCTTAGAGCCGCGCCGAGCACAGCTAGCTGGCAACCTACCGGCGTCTTCGCCCTGCCAGCAGTTCCCCCGTGTTGCCGCGTTTGAAGATCTTCTGTCAGTTCCAATTCAAGCCTTTCCCAGAAGCAGTGAAAGCATCCCAGAACCAGGAAACCTGCAAGGTGGCCAATGGAGCAAGTGTCGAACAAAGCACAGCAAACACAAACTGACAAGAAGGGCATCCTCCACAAACTCTTTCCAAACCACTCTGACGATTGCGTGTGTTTTCTTTACGGAACGACACAGACTGTGTACTGCTAAGTCACCTCCTTGGCATCAAAGTGACCCCCCCTTTCCGAAGGACCGTTCGTTTGCCGGCCAGCTGCACTGATTTGTTGCTTCATTCGGAGGCTCCAAAAAATCGCCAATGGCATGCGGCATGTGAGCGTGGCAACTGGCCCGGCCTGCCGCCCAATTTCTCGGGTGGAATCTCCCAAACGGCTGCCTCTCCTGCCAAAAAGGGTGAAAAGTCTGACTAAGCCTGAGGCCTAAGCCTTCTGACTGAGCACGAGCCTTCTGAGAGGGTCTTTCCAAGAAAAACACGTGACTTTTGTCTGAGGGGAACCTACAACAAATGCAGGGTCGCTCCACATGGCACCTACGCCACTTCACCCTGAGAATGGCACGGGAGTTGGACGGCGTAGGCAGCTAAAGCACTGCCAACGCATGTGGCAGGCACGTGTGGACTCAGATGTCACTCAAGAGTACAGATCCATCAAAGAACATAGGGCTTGATGCATTGCTAACAATGGCTATCCACCAAAACAAATAACAAGAATCAAGCCAATCCACATATTCACAATCACAGCGGTCTTGTCAGACCGTGTTTCTCCCCTTTCGCTTGGTCAAGGAACCGATGTCCCTTCGTTCAAACTACTCTGCTCTGAAAAATAGAGTACTCCACAGCATAATCTGAGCATGCAACGCATCCCGAAATACCACCATCGTCATTAGACCTCCAACAAGCATAGCACCTCCAAGAAGAACAGGTCAATAGATTGAAATACATCCTAAACACCTTGACTAAACAACGTTCCTCACCAAGTGTTTCCTGCACAGCACTCCAAGCAACTAAAGTGCACGCCACATGGTACGCTCGCTTTCGTGACATGTACATCTCCTGTCAAGCATCTTCCGACATCCGAAAATGGTCATAAACCCGGAAAGAGCGGGTATATCATGGTACATAACATACATGTAGAATTACTAAACTATATACTATGCACGAACGTGAAAGGTCACTCCGTGGACATTCACAAAGGTCTCGCCTGCTGCTGTCTTGGCACCGCCGCTTCGCTTGGCGAAGTTGCTGGCCCACTTCGTGGAGATGTCCAAGCTGCACGTTGCCGTGGCACAGGTCGACCCCCCCAAAAAAATGGAGACAGAAACCTCCTAATTCGAGCACACTAAGCTGGAGGAACATGTGCCAGTCCTCTTGGATGTCTCCATATTTGTCCTCTACTTAAGGACCGGTGGTAGATTGCTGTCCGTGTCTTGGCGACCAAGCGCGCGATGTGACCTGAACTTCTTCGGCTTGGCGCTGCCGACGAGCTCCTCCAGCGCCCGAGCGCCTCGAAGAAAACATTGCAGAACAAAACGTCACAATTCTCGATCAAGTCGTTTTTGTCTCAGAACCAACAAACCATCGGGGAGGCTACTCCACACATCATGCAAACAGGGTTCTCTTTCTACCAAATACATCCAAAATTCAAGGGTGGGACACCATGCAAGACATCGAAGCGTGCCTTCTCCACTTGCAAAGCTATTTTCAGCAGGCCCTGCAACTCCCGTCGCACCACTAGCGGCTCACTGGGCCTCGAGAGGCAAAGACATAGCCGCATCAACCCTCCAGGCTGTTGCCGGTTAGCTCAAGAGTAGGCTACCACCAACACACCGGTAAGTGTACAGGTTTTCTGGGCTCTGCACAGGCGGGGCTGCAGAACGAATCACAATCGCTGCGATCGCTAAGAAGCCAAGCACCCTGCGTCATTCGTTCGCGATGGGATGATTCCGAATGATTCCGCGTCCCAAAAATCAATGACTAGAAAACTGCACATGTCACACGCCCCTTTTTGAAACCCAAAAGCCTTGAGGGGCCGAGTGTTAAAAGTTTCCTCCGTGGCAATATGCTAGAAATCTGCCAACTTTGGTGCACCTGCTTAGAAATTGGCTCATCCCCAGGCTTTTCGGAGCGCAGAATTGTCGTTGCGACTCAAAAAGAGATCTACAGGGTGCCTATGTCCTCGTCGACCCTTCTTCGCTTCCATAGCATACAAATTTGTCGCAGCTCTTGCACCGTTTGAGCCCAGCCAGCTGGCAGAAGCTTGCGCATCTAGCACGTCTAGGCAGCAGCTTTATGTCAGGTGAAGGAATCTGATGCAAAGCATTAGCAAGATCTGGACCCCATGCCAAAAAAGCAACGCGCAAGGTTCCAGAATGTAACAATATGTAACAATCATATTGGCACATTGGCATTGGTTCCCTTTTGACTGCTGGTCTTTGACTGCAGGTCATTTCGAAGACCAGAAGCACTGAAAGGCCGTGGCCCAGAAAGGCCCTTTGTCGATGCGTGGCTTGCAGCTGGCCGGGTTCGAGGCTAGGGCCAGTCACCCATGCCGCCGTTGGTAGGTGGAAAGAATGAGTCATCTGTGGAGTTCCTCTCAGGTGCTGCTTCTTGTTTCTAGCTGCTTGTTACTACTAGTAAGGCACTTGTTACTAGTAGCGATGCACTTGTTTCTACTAGCATCTGTGGAGTTCCTCTCAGGTGCTTATACTGATGCCTTGACAACTCACCTCATTCTCCAAACTGGTGCCGAGAACATCCATTGCTCGATGCCAAAAACTACTCCAAGCGCTTCTCATCTGCCTGGGCAGCCATGCCAATTTCATTCAAGTGCTACAGTGGACGGGTGTTCGCTCTCTTGGCAGCTTAGAACAGCGCTCTCTGCGTTTGTTCAACTCGAGGCGCGCAGCACACCCTCTTAGCGCAGCACAGCGTCTTGACACGAGAAGCGCGGGATCCGCAGTGCCAGAAGCTTCCCGGAGCAACGCCTGAAGCTGAGGCAGGTGATGGGACGAGTATGGCGGCCAGTTTTTACGCTGGACTGAGTGAAATCAAAGGCTTCTGGTTTGGAGGCTATGCTTCTTAACCCACACCCACACGCACCTTACAAATGGACACAACTCGCAAACCGTCGCAGGCGCCCCTGCCTTCCCTCCACTCAGCAGCCTCCCCCTCCTCGGCCGTCGTTTCAGAGCTCTTCTCGGGTCGCCCCTGCCTCACTTACGCCTCGCAAAACAGCTGGTGAACCCGTCACGACCACCCCGGTGGCACGAGCGACCGGTGAGACCAACCTTTTGCACGACCGGTGAGCCGACAGAGCGGGAGACAGCGCCCTCTCTCTCTCTCTCGACAGAGCCATGCCGCCCATCTTCCATGCCCCCATCACTGCGGGTTCCCCCCCGGCCTCTGCCTCAGGAGGAGAATCTGGCCGAAGCAAGGAGGTGTGGCTATGCAGAGTGGAAGACAACGAGGTCGGCCAAAAGACGTTATATATCTTTCTAGGCCTTTTCCACTGGAGTGATGGACAGAATCTCTGGCATGCAAGGGAACGACCAGGGGATGGTCAGGGGAGATGTACCAACCAGGGGGGGCAACTCCCCCTCCCCAAAACATGTTCTTCCTCCAATCGGATGCCAGTCTAAAGTCATTGCTGTTCCAGCCTTCGTGAGGCTTTGGTGAGGCTCTGCGCGTCTCTCCAGCAACACCTCTTCGGTCGAAACAGCAGAGTCTGAGATGCTCAAGCGAAAAGGCGTGGCTCGAGCCGCGAGATCCACGTCAAGGTCTCCACGAGGGAAGAAACAGTTGCCAAAGACCGGGCCGAAGGGCATGCAGTTCTCCCTCTTAAAGGACTCAAAGTCATGAAGTCAAACCAATGAGTAAGGCAACCCTGAAAAAGGATTGTTCACTGGTTTCCGTCTTGTGAGTACCGATTCCCTTGTTTAAGGTTCAGTCAATTCCAAAGGACTCATCTTGCACTTTCAGCCTGCTCCAAAGGAGTCGGGTGACTCCACTATTCAAGTTGGGGGACTGAGCCTATGGTGAACGTCCCCAAACGGTGCCGCCCCGGTGCCGCCCCGGTGCCGTCCCATCAAATGGGCGGTGCTGGAGGAAAGTTCTACGCTCTGTGTGTGTGTGTGTGTCTGTCTGTCTGTCAATAAGTGTGCGTGTAACGTGCTTTCAGCGATGGTCTTTATGACTTGGGATCGAGTCATGAGATGCACTCCGTGCATGTGTACACTTGTTGGTCGTAGCAGGTTCTTCATCTCCGACTTCCGTGTCATACTGGTGAGCAAGCCGCTGATTCCCCTCAAAAAAAACACCCGAAAGACATGTCCAATCTAGGATGCCTGGCATCCTACTTCGAGTCAAAGCCCACGAGTCCAATCGAGTTGCCAAGCGCGATTCAAGCAAGCCACGCTCGCATCAAAATATGGCGATGCCTTGGGGACAACAAATTACGCATCCTGTTGAGCATCTGTGCCACGTTTCAAACGGGCTGAGTGGTCGACTGCCTCCAGAAAGTCTTGCACATTCGGTTCTCCCTCCTGGATTCATGTCACTGTCTGCCCGTGTCCGAGAAACGACCCCAACCCGCCACAGTCGAACTCCGAAGTCCCACGTCGCAGTCGAGGGATCCGAAGTCCGTGAAGTGACCACCATCACACCCTCGTCAATATTCTTATTGTTCTTGTCTTTTTGTTGATGCGCAATGTGCATGACGATCAAAAGACTGGATCTTGCAAACGGGTGCACGTTTTATTTGGGATGTTTTCATTTTTTTCGGGAATATGTTTCCAAAACATTGGAATAGAGCAGGTTTCTTATTAGTACCTAGCTAATTACAGCAATTTCGTGTCCTTAGCCGAGACATAGGTGTCGTAGCTGGCCAAATACATTGGAATAGTGCAGGCTTCATATTAATTGCTAGCTGATTAGACTAATTTGGGAGCTGTCGTAGCTGGCAAAATACATTGGAATAGTGTAGGTGTCAGAGAAAGTCCTACGTTAGCAAAGAAACAGTAAAGAGAAAAAGAACCAGCACAGGAGGCATATATGATTGGTTAGAAGTTTATGCCCCGGGGAGTTCACCTTAAAATATTGATTTCGTGGCAGGCGCGGGTATCGGAGATGAAGTGCAGATTTCGTGGCGCGGGGGGGGGGGGGGGGCGCAGCGCCCCCCCCCAGCAGCACACCAGATCCAAAAGTTAGAAAGCAAACAGATGGAAAAGCAAAAACAGAAAAAGAGAAAGGAGAACAGCTGCCAAAGCAGAAAAGCAACAAAAGCAAAGAGCAGAAAGACAAAAACACAAAAAGCAGAAAAGCAGCAGAAGCAGAAAAGCAGCAAAAGCAGAAAAGCAACACAAAAGCAGCAGAAGCAGAAAAGCAAAAGCAGAAAAGCAACAAAAGCAAAAAAGCAGCAGAAGCAGAAACGCAGCAAAAGCAGAATCCGAAAAAACTTACCAAAAAAACATGAAAAAAAAACGAAAAAAACGCCCCTCCCTTGCAAACATGGCTCCTCCTCTCTGTCGGCCAACGCCAGGAGGACCCTGGTCGAGTCGCCACCTGGTGGACCAGTTTGACATCGAGTGGACCAGTTGATCAAAGAATCGAAGGCCCTCAACGGAGAGGATGTCTTCCAGTTTGTTGAGGCGGTCTTTTCATGTCTTTTCTGTGTTCTCTTGCGAAAATCAGTGCCAAAGAACCTCGTTTTTTTTCAACCAGCGTCAGCATCAGACAAATGCGTCCTCTGCTACACTTGGATTGGTGGCCACTTCTGAACATGGAAACAGCCACTTCTGCACCGAGGGCATGACATTGTTCTCGCAGCGTCTCACAGAGTGGCTCAAAGAGGCTTGGGTCGTAGCCAATATCTGAACCAACGATCAAGCTCCTCCAGCGAGGACGATGTCATGACAAACTAGAAGAACGCAAACGAGCAACCGCCCGTCCAGCATCCTTTCCATTGGAGGCCACATCTGGCGAGACGGGACACCAAACGACCCACAGCGGTCCACTAACGAAGTCAAAAAGAACGTTCCCGCCTCTGCTCTTCTTTGGTCCAATCGAGCTCTTTGACCAGCACCTGCAGCAGCTGCAGATATCAGAGTCACTTCGTAAACATGCTTCACCTTGCACTCTGATGCTGCCAACCTGACCATCAAATTCGTTTGCCGCTGCATTCTTCTCCAAGAGAGGGATCCTCAGCTTGCACCCACACCGGTCACCATGATGACCCATCTTCCTGCCCAGTCGCTGTCTCGCCACGTCTGTCAAGACCACCACCCTGGCGCCCGAACGCGCAGCGAGTGCGCACTCGCAAGCCTGCGACCCCTCGACCAGTGGCATTGGGAAATCTGGATCAAAAGCCGGGACCCAACCGAAGGTCCAACAAACAGGAACAGATTGAAAGGTGCGGAGTTTCGTGAACGAGTCTCGTGAACGAGTCCCGTGAACGAGACCCCACGGCTCGTTTTTTTGGTGGGTCATTTGATCCTCGTGTGGATGTTCCACATCCAAAAGGATTCCGTTGGCTAGAGACCGTGACCAGCACCTGAAGAGTGTGGTCAGGAGGAGAAGCAGCACCAAAAGTTGAAGGCGGCAGCGGCAGCAGCAGCAGCAGCAGCAGCCGGAGTGCAACAACTTGCTGGGGGGGGCACGGACACAAGAAACGACTTCCACTCAAGATTTCAAGGGGGTTCGTCTTTCAAAAAACTGTTCTATCATGTTCTGTCATTCTCTATCTATTTGCGGGCAGGCCGGGGTTACGTTGGCCTTCAGACTCCGGTAAGTACGTGAACTCACATCACCTGTGACAGCCAAAACCGTGCCCAGCCGACTTGGCACCCAAATGTGCGACGGTCAGGCCCACGACCTCAGGACAAAACAAATAGGGCGATTTCGATGGAAAGAACGGGAGGAAAACGCCAGGTCAAAGGTCCGAGAAATCGGGAAAAACAGAAAGCCCTCGGCCGAAGAGCTGCCAAAGGTGCCAAAAAACGGTGAAAACGCTTGGACCGACCGACACGTGATCGACCAATTCAGGTGTCGACCGTTCGGCAAAAGGCCTAAACTCCGAAACGACAGGGATGGTTCTGGCACAGAGGCGACCCTCCTGAGGAAAGGACGCCAATGCCGGCACCCAGCTCCAAACACGTGGCTCCCCTAGGCAGGACTCCTTCACTTGCCTGCTTCATGCTGTTCTAATCTTCAAGCCAAATCCTTTGACTCTGACCCCCTAGAGTCAGCCTCGCCTGCAAAGCTCCTCATGGTCCGCGAAATAGTCTGATAGGACCTGCTCAAGATCGGCCAAGGCTGAGGCCCACCTCTCCTGTTTCAGCCATAGCTGCCCACCTCTCCTGCTGCCCACATTCCAGTTCCAGTGCCCCGTGCCTTGGACCAGTTTCCCAGGCCTTCGGAGCTGGGACACGGAACTGGACCCACAGCTGGGGCGCCAAGACACCACGAGGGTCGGAGACCAGCGTCAATCGGTCCCTCCACAAGTACCTCAAAGCCCAAGAAAATAGCATCTGTCATCCCACACTGGCTGCTTCCACCACACGCGCGTGAACCGCCAGTGAACTGCCTGCTCGGCGCACTGGAGGAGTCCATCGACCCATTTGTCCTCCACCCGCGGTCTCTTGACCCGCTCAGGTTGAGCCCCATCGGCATGGTCGGCGCTGCCATCCTGGCGCCCCGGAAGGGTGCATGGATGTCTTCATATGTGCCGCTGGTCTTCATCCATGTCTGCATCTTCTCTGATGTTTTCCGGTATGTCTTCCCTTGGACCTTTTAGACCTTTCGTTTCTGCAGATCAGACCTTTTTCCCGTTTCCTTCCTTTCTTCCTTTGCTTTTTGGAAGATCTGCCATTCACTAACCACCTTGGTTCAAATGAAAGACCCCCTTTTGGTGTGTCTGCGTTTTCGCCTCCTCTTCTCTCATAGCAGTCACAGTCTCAGCCATAGCAGTCACGCGATGTTCTGCTCTTCCCTGGATGTTTCATGATTTGGGTGTGTCTTACTTTAAAGGACCTTCGAGCCAGACCCCCCTGGTCACTTTGAGCGACTTTGACCTAGGCGGGTAACCAATTCTGGCCAAGGGGTCCCTAGGCTCCCAACACACGTTGTGGCCTGGCTTGCAAGTTGTCCCTCGGTTTCTGAGTCACCTCTGTGATGAACCACTGATCAGCTCGAGCCGAAGCAGGAACGGTTCTTCAATATCCAAACCTACACAGTCGAAAGAACAAAAATCTGGGACGTCTAGACACGACTCTCCCAGTAGAACGGGGCACCGGTTGCAGTTGCGACACCGCTGCAAGACCTCCCGCGTCCCAATGAGAGCGAACAAGATGGTGTGTGTGTGTGTGTGTAAGTCCATCGTATCATCACATCTTCAACAAAAATCTTACTCCGTTCCAATTCGAATCTTGAATTCGATCCTATCCATTCGGCATGCCCAGGCCGAGCTCCTAGCTAGCTTCTGAGGAGCCACTCGGCCACTCCGAGTTCCAGGCCACTTGACGCGAAATGCCATCCGTGATGCACACCTAGATGGGGGGGGTGAGAGGCCTTCGTGTCCATTGCGGTCTTCGTCCATCGCGGTCAGGGACACCTCCATCTAAGACCGTGGAAAGAGTATGAAAGAGTCGGGTGGCATGCACCAGTACCACTGATAACTATACATGGCTATGGGCCAAGGGTCAAACCTGGAGCCGGCAACCAGGGTCCCCCTGTTTTGACCGATATGGTCAGCAGCTAAAGCACCAGCAAAGTACAGGTCACTAACAATCACTTTTATCAGTCACGGCTACGGCACGCGATACGTTGTTTTCTAGGCAAGACTGCATGCAGTAATACAAATGTTCCTTTCTATCTTGACGTGTATGTATGCATCTTTGTATGTATTGTTTTTTAAAACAAAGTAAACCTAGAATCCCCTCCCAATTCGCCCTGCTAACCCAGGGTTCAGGGTACACGGGGGTATATAAGTAACTAAAAAACTAAAAAATGCTGGAAGAAGAGTCTCGAAAGAACTAATGTAAAGTCAGGATTAATAAATCTCCCCTAGTTAACCCGAGCCCACAAAGCCGCCGGAAATTGCCCAAATTAAAAGTATTATTGGCTGTTGATTTCCCCCCCTATGGTCTAGTTTTCTACCAACAATCCCCCCCAGTTAATCCGAGCCCACAACCAGGTAAATTGTTCGTATTACTACTACTACTACTACTACTACTACTACTACTACTACTGCTGCTGCTACTGCTGCTGCTGCTGCTGCTACTGCTACCGCTACTGCTACTGCTACTGCTACTGCTACTACTACTACTACTACTACTACTACGACTACCCCTACTACTACTACTACTACAACTACTACTACTACTACTACCACTACTACTACTACTACTACTACTACTACTACTCCTACTGCTACTGCTACTGCTACTACTACTACTACTACTACTCCTCCTGCTGCCGTTGCTGCTGCTGCTCCTGCTACTGCTACTGCTACTGCTACTAGCTATTGCTGCTGCTGCTGCTGCTGCTCCTGCAGCTGCTCTGCTACTGCTACTGCTACTGCTACGTGCTACTACCACGACCACCACCACCACCACCATCACCACCTACTACCTACTGCATGTTTGATGCAATCCTTTAAAATGTCTAGGGCTCAGGGCCTATAAACTGCCTTGTTAAGAAACAATAAAAAAAAACAATCATTTGACAAGCTCACAAAGGGTACCTCTTACAAGGGCCGGTCCCCCATCAATAATCTGCACTACTACCCCCCTATTGATTTGATCCTGTGTCCCTGGTCTTTTCTTTGCGCTTGTTTAAACTCGTTGTGACTACTACTACCTACTACCTACTACCTACTACCTACTACCTACTACTACCTACTACCCACTACCTACTACCTACTACTACCTACTACCTACTACCTACTACTACCTACTACCTACTACCTACCTACTACCTACCTACTACCTACTACTACCTACTACCTACTATTACCTACTACCTACTACTACCTACTACCTACTACCTACTACTACCTACTACTACCTACTACTATCTACTACCTACTACCTACTACTTACTACCTACTACTACCTGCTACTACCTACTACTACCTACTACTACCTACTACCTACTACCTACTACCTACTACCTACTACCTACCTACTGCCTACTGCCTACTACCGACGACGACTGCGACTACGATGGCTCCCTGGGCCGATAATTCAGGGGGAAGGGACCTCATGAATGGAATCTCATACCTTCTTGACCTTGTTGACCTACCATGTGGGGGGGGTTATTAATCCGGTCTTTGCATTAATTAAAAACACGCGCTGCTAAAGAATAGGAACCTGCCTTCAAAACCCCTAAAACGTCTCCGCGCGCGCTGAATAACAAGCCTCCGTCTTCAGGCATTGCGCACATCGCATGCTCCTGAAGCGTCCGAACACACGAGAAATCCCTGACATTTCACTGACCCCACCTGCGATTCAGCCTGTTCGTCCCAAAAAGACATCCAACTCTATGTGATTCTGATTGTGATCTCAGGCCGCGACTGGTTTGGAACCATCAGCACCCCACAGCTGCAGCACAGGACGCTGGCAGCAGTGGTCGCCTGATGTCGAAGCTCAAATTCGCTGCCAGGAGGGATGGCCCCAGTCGAGTCCAGGCTGAAGGTTTCTCAAGTTTTCCACAGGAAACCATGTTTTTTCTCACCAAAAATTACACCAGCATAGACCCAGATAGCTAGGCAGAATCCCACGACCTGTTGACATGCGACTGGCTGGAACAAGAATGTACGCAGCCTGCACAGCCAGCTTACGGCGCCTCCACAGCGCGCACAACCAGCTGACACCAGCACCGGTGCGCTTTGCCAGCTGACAACACCGGCAGCGGCACCAGCACCCGACCAGCGCCGCCGCCCAGCGCCGACACCCTTTCGAAAGCGCGCGCGGCTCATTCTTATTTGCAGTAAGAACCCCATAGCTATCCCTATTTGGGGAATAACAACGTATGATCTTAGCTTGCGCGCATACGTTTACAGTATGCGCTACGTTTATGCGCACAAAAAGTATGCACACAAACAACAAAGCCCGTAAGTGTCATTGGCCCAAGGCCAAGCAGTATCCAGCGCCACTATAAGTTTATGCGCACAAAGTACGCGCACAAACGGCAAAGCCCGTAGGCTTCACTCGCCCAAGGCCAAGCAGTATCCAGCACGACTATTGTGTGTGTAGCAGGCTGAAGCACGCTGAAACAATGGTCGGTTGAGAGCCTGACGTTGCGCATAGAATATTATACGTCGCGCGCCAACAGTACAGCGGTTGACACAGCTGTCGGCCAAAACAGAACCTGAAGAGTGTAAATACCCCACAGCGCCAATATACGAAGAACCCTCAAGCGACACACCGTATGATGTTGCGTGCATAAGTTCATGCGGCCCATGACTGCTGGCACTTCGGCTGTTGGTCGCCCTTCACTGCTACAAGCGGCAGGTTGTCACCCTTCACTGTCAGAAGCGGCGGTTGTTTTCACTTCACTGTCAGAAGCGGGCACCAGTACCGAGCACCGGCACGCCAGCTCACGGCACCCAGCACCAGCACCCAGCACCGGTACCCAGCACCCAGCACCAGCACCCGGCACCCTGTCTCCACCACGTGCACAGCCGGCACCCAGCACCGACCAAGTGCACAGCCAGCTCACAGCACCAGCACCAGCCACCGGCACCCGGCACCCAGCACCAGCACCGGCACCAGCAACCTGTCTCCACCACGTGCACAGCCAGCTCACAGCACC